TTCCACAGGCACCTCTCCCCTGCAGCCTCCTCTGTCATGCCCCTCTAACTGCTTAGTCCTCATGCTTGGTGTGTCTTTTGTTTGTTTGTTGGTTGGTTTTTTGGTGCCGAAACCTGGGATCAAAGGTGTGTCTTTATTGAGCACCAACTGCATGCATCTCCGCGCTGAGCATGCGTGATCTCATCAAGTCCTCCACCCCTCATGCACTGCAGGCATTCTAGACCCATCTTGCAGGTGAGGGACTGAGGCTCAGAGAGGTGATGTGACTTGCCCACGCTCACACAGCTGAGCCTGGCTGTGGGCTGAGCTTCCGGGAGCCGGCGAGCCCATGACCAGCCTGGCCTCACCGGTGTCTCCCCTCCTCGCCGTGCCCGCAGTACATCTTTGATGTCAAGAAGGCAGAAGACGAGGTGCTGATCTCCATCCAGCAGCGGCCTAAGCAGTCCACCCGTCGGGACGGCAAGGGCGAAAACCTGGCCATCGGCTTCGACATCTACAAGGTGAGGTCTGCTCTGGGTGAGGAGAGTGAGGGAGCTGGCGTCGGGGCCGCCGGCACCAGGGGAAGAGCACCTTGGTCACCGACATCATCCCTGCCACCCTGACCACGCTGGCTGACACCGGGGCATGCTGTGGCATCGGCCCTGTTCGCAGGACCCAGAGGCCCAGCCTGCCTGGGATTGGCTCCCAGGGGAGCACTCAGCCTGATTTCTTCCTGCCTCAGACCCATAGGCCTGGGCTGCTTGGTGGGTGGGGCCAGGCTCTGGGAGCCCCCTGCTGCCCCGTCCCTCAGGGCTCTGGGTCCCGCTGAATTGGAGGCTTTGCTGGGCACAGGGAGGCGGCGCCCTGAGCAGAGCCAGGCAAGCTCACCAGTGGCCACTCCTCCTGGCCCGGGGCTCGGGTACCTTCCCCATAGCGTGACGCTCAGTGCGTGATGACATTCAGCGTAGAACCAGATGCCTAGAACCTAGTGACACCACGTGGATATGCTGGGCGTGTGATCGAGTCAAGTCCCTGGCATTTGACATGCTGGTCATGACACTTTGTTCATGTCGCTGTGTTGTCCATTCACTGTGTGCTGATGTGCTGTCACTTTGACGTGACGTGTCTGGCCCTCCCTGACGTGACTGTAGCTTATTGATGGCACTTATTCCAGTGATGGTTAGCTTGTCCTACCGGCTGGCGATGTCCCTTCATGGACACCGGCTGTGACCTGGGCGGATATGATGGTCAGAATCCCCACAGACATTGTTATCGGGGATTCCTCTTGCCCCCGACTCACATCCCATACCATTCAGCCATTTAAAGTGTGCAGTGATGTTGGTGTGTCCATAGAGCTCTGCAGCCAGCACCACATCAATTTTAGAGCATTTCATCACCCCACCCCACACCCTTTAGTCACCATCAGCCAGTCCCATGCACCCAGCCCTCCCAGCCCCAGGCAAACACTCATCTGCTGTGTCTGTAGATGTGCCTGTTCTGGGCATTCCACGTGAGTGGTTCTGCTGCTCTTTTGCACGGTGGTGAGGGAGAGATGTGAGATGGGGGCCGGGCCGGGGCCGGGGGCTCTGTGTGACCTCCGCTGCCTGCAGGTGGAGGAGAACCGCCAGTACCGCATGCACAGCCTGCAGCACAGGGCCGCCAGCTCCATCTACATCAACTCACGCAGCGTCTTCCTGCGCACGGACCAGCGGGCAGGGCGCTACGTCATCATCCCCACCACCTTCGAGCCAGGCCACACCGGCGAGTTCCTGCTCCGAGTCTTCACTGACGTGCCCTCCAGCTG